AATTTCAGTAAGATGTTAGATGTGAACCTTTGTGGATCTGATGCTATGATGACCCTACAAAAAAGTTTTGAGGAAAATTAATAATTTGCTAGTCTGTGCTTATGCCGTGGGAACTGGGGACTGCAGTATGCATTCTAAGCATTGGTAGGAAACCAAAAGCTTCCTATGGTTTCAGAGGGTAAGGAAGTCAGCAAGGGAATCTTCATTACTAGGAGGCCCTAAATGGGTTTTGGGAATCAGCAAGGTAGTGAAGGAAGGCATCTGTGCTCTTTGAGACCTGCCTCATCTGTCTTGGGAGCCACAAGAGAGAGATGGGAGTTTCCTTCTCACTTTCAAGTCCTCTAGTCCTTTATGACCATCATTCCTGCAAAACCTATGGGGGCTATAGGAATTTGATAGGAAAGGTGTTGCTTGGCTCTGCAGAAAATTTGTGATCCCAAGTACCTTCAGGAATTCACAGATGTGAGACTTCCTTTTTGAAGACTCCAAGAGTTCAGTATCAGGGCCTTTCTTCACAGCACTGGATGGAAATGGAAGGCATGATACCTGGGGGTGCTGATACACGTGCTTGGGGTGTAGGGGGGCATTTTAATTAGAGAGGCTCTTGGGAGCTGCTCTGATTAAAATATCTGTAGTATCTTATGTATTCAGCATCCCATATTTCAAAATGGTGGCGGGGCACTTTAACTAAAGCCCCTGCCTCCGTTTTGAATTGTGGGTCCCTGAATACATGAGATGCTTCAGCACGGTGGAGCATTCTAATTAAAAAGCTCCAGCAGACTCGATTAATTGAGTCTACACCAACATGTAATTGGAACTCATTGCAGCCTGTGTAAAAGTGCCCTGGAAGACTAAGGGGTTGTCAGACCTCCCTAGACTTTCTAGAGCTAAAACTAACAAAACTGCCTATCGTATGGTTGACAGAAACTCCTGTCTGTAGAATGGCTAAAGATCCTTTCCATGTATTAAGAGAAAAATCTGTATGATGAAGTCAAACTTGCCACATTTAGGCAGAGTTTGTGTTGCATCTCAAGAAATTTATTTATTTATTTATGCAGTGTATTTGCTACTCAGGGCCACTTACAGTAAGAGAACATAACAACTTAAAGGGCAACTGAAACATCAAAAACACAAACCAGAGACCCACTAAACATCATCATCAAGCTTTGTTTGCCAAGTACTTGCACAAATAGGAAGGTCTTGCAGCGCTTCTGAAAGATGGTCTCAAGAGTAGCAGAGCTGAGGAGCAACTGCTGAGAATGACCTTCCATGATTACTTTCCAAATTGACTTGATGTATTCATGGTATTTTCAGGAGTGTAAAAAGACTAACTTGTGGTTGACATAAAAAGAAAAAGGAAATGCAAACAGAGTTGTGCTCCTTAAAGGAAGCACCCAAACTCCCTTAATACAGGTTTCAGAAAGATCCCCTCAGAAAAGAAGATATTTATATTGCCTTATTCATTCCAAGCAGGTTTCATATAAATCACCATATAGACAAGATTCCCTTAATTAGATAATGGCTGTGCCACTTAACAGTTTTAGTCATACAGCACACATGTAAAAGACTTTTGCTGATTCCTTTTTTGATTAAGAGCATATCCAAGAAAGGAGTCTTTTATTCACTCATTAAGTGCCTAATCCTGCCAAATGCTGACAGCATATAACTAACTGGGCATGTGAAATGGTTCAATCTCTATAATGCAACATGAGCACCAGTTTTTCAGGTGTCACTAAATACAAAGATTTTTGGGTACAGATTTTGTATGGTCAGTTGGGTAATCAATCAACCTACTTGCACTAAAAATTAACCTGGTAACAAAGCAGCACCCTTGATATCAGAGAAATGACCCTGAAACAAAGCTGGTTTTGTTTACTGCATGCCTTTAGTACTCCATATGCAAAAAAGGATGGTAAGGGTTGTTTGTTCGGTTGTTTGTTTATTTCCTCAGGGCAAAATTACTAATTTTTATGCCTTATTTGAGAAGTTCAATCTTAACTCTGTATTTCCTGCATTTTTTAACCTAACATTCTTGAAAGGTAATATGCAATCTATGAAACTATGAATCACACTTCATTTTGCACTTATATTGATTTGCAAATGATTTCATTGGAACCCAATGCAGTAAAAGAAAGAAAGTGATAAAATCAGTGTCAACTTTTACTGTAATGTATAATTACATATAACTTTCTTATGACCGATCACTTTCTCCATGTAGACAGCCAAATAGTTGATCCACTACAGCTATGCCTATAGTTGTGTTAGTATAACACCTCTATATGAATATGGTATTCCCCCAAAAAGGTGACATTATTCTGGCATAATTACTGCACATTGAGGATGGTTAAGCTACATAAAACTGAGGTCACTGTATTTTTGAATGAGAATATCCATACAAGGTCATCATACAAGGTAACGTGTTACCTTCATAACTTTAGTTTATTTGCCTTTGCTTTTCTGAGTATCTTTGTATAGATAGTCTCCTGGAGACAAGTAATCACTTTGATAGCAGAATGTATGTCTGTTGATTATATTACCTTATGTAGAGGCATATAGTCTACAATTATTGCATTTCTGTATTCATTGATTTAAATAGTAGTTTTACTTTCATTTATGCAAATAGAAATGTATGCACAAGCCTATGTGATCTTCATAGATGAATAATGTCAATTGTTCAATTAAAAGGTATTTTTTCATGTGCCTTTTTAAAAAATGAAATGAACTCAGAAAATCCTGTTATACTTTTTGATAAGATTCAGTTGCCCCGTGTGTTAAGAAGTTACCCTTTATTTTGATGTCAGAACATGAAAATATGGAGTATTTTCTTCTCCAAATTGCTTTCTCCCATCAGAGTGTCAAGCTAAATTTTAGCTTTAAGTCTTGCCCTGTTTTCAGGTTACTGAGAGGAAGGAAATAAAACAATCCTGCAATGTTAGATCTAAGCACAGTTTCAACAGCATCCCAACAAGTGGAGGCATCTGTAGCTTGGAGTGCTTCATCCTGTACACACCTTACCTTCTCATTACCATTATTCCTAAGAAACCATGTAAGAGGGACTTCATATGTATACCTCTTTTAATTTTATTATCCTGTATCTATAGGCATAGTGGTCTAATAACTGGTTCAAATAACTTCTGGGGAGGATAGCATAACCCCAACACTCTTTGATCTTTTGCCAGCCAAACCTAATACCCATATCTTCTATCTAGAACACCTTTCCTGTACAAATCCTGTTCTGCCCTTATACCCTTCTACCTGGGCCTTACACCTTTCTCTTTTCACCTTTTATTGTTTTATATGGGGAACAGGTTAGGAACCATATAGCTACTTTTTACCTGCATAGTTTTGGGGAAAAGCTAATCGGTAAGAGCTGCTTTCTTCATCTGGAATATTCTTTAGGGTATATTTTCTTTGTATCTGGTAGCAACAGTACAGTTGGGTCTGTCCTGCAGCCAACTTTAAATGACAGAAGTCAGGTTATTCATAATTGCAAAGACTTCAGGATCTTGAATGGAACATCCCAGTTTTCTAGCTGGAAGTGATCCACCCTCTGAAGGTTCTGTAGTTGAGGAGATAATCCTTTTATCTGTACATTCAGTTGTGAGTAGATTAGAACAGTAGCCATCTGGGGTGGATCCAGGTGGGTGCAGTGGTGCTGTAGCCCCCCCTTCAATTCTTGATCCACTCAGAGTTTAAAACCACCTATATGGCAGTAAGATCAGCATTTCTATTCAGGTAACAGGGAGAGTGTTACTTGACTTCATGGCTGATTATAATCTACCTGATTCCTTCCAAATTCTTCATGCCACAGGTGTTAACAACCCTGTCTGTCCTTTTTAATGGTCCTGATGTTCCACTAGTCAAGCTACCTTTCTTCTGCAGTCCTGCTGTCTGTTAGCTGCTCCTGGTACTGTAACTCCTGTTTCCCTGCCATGTAGAGTGTTTTTAACTAGTCAGAAACATGAACTCAGGTGTGGAAACATTAAATGAGGAGAACTTTAGCTCGAGTGTGGAAACAACTTTCAGTGAAGCATTGGATGCACTGTCAAGATGCTCAAAAAAGCTATTTTTTTTGTTTATGAATCTGAAAAAGATATTTAATTCTAAAGACTGCAGGACTAATGAAACATATTTTGATTATTTTTTGCCTAGTTGTGTTTATTGTAAGGGATCATACAGCAAATCGGTGTATATTCCAATAAACAAGTTTAAAGATATACTTGTTTTTGTTCTACTCTTAAACTGAATAGTACATCCATAGGCCTTTAGCATATTAGTCCAGCTTCTAGTTTATTTTTAACTGGATAAAAATGTTTGTTGTGTTATATGTAATGATGCACCACACCATCTGCACTCTGCTTTTCAAAATCCTAGATCCACCCATGTAGCCATCCAGCAGTATCATGCCACCACCCTGGAAGAGTTTCTGACTAAGGTGAATAAGAAGGCTACAAAATATCCTTTCGTAAGGGATATGTATGTAGTTGTAGGAAAAAGGATGCCCAGATACGTGGGGCTTTGTTAGATCAGAGAAAGTCTTGTGCTGTTGTGTTTTTGTCCTCTTGAGGATTTGGTTTTGCACTATACAATTAAAGTTTCAGAACTCAAAATCACATGCCAACCCCATCTCCATTTTAAAAATTTGCTCCCACCCCTAATCTTTAGAGAAATTGTATAATTAGACATGTAGAGTTCTGTTTTTTTCAGAAAGTGAAGAAATAAAATTATTTTAAATCTCAATTATGTGTTTTAAGCTATTTCATTAAATGGCTTCCATACAGTGCTAGTGGCCTGACTATTCCAAAGATAATTTTATTCACCATAAACTCTATTTAGAGTAATTAGATCTTGGATCACTGTGGTGTTGCTTTTAGCCTTTTCAGGAACCATGTTTCTTGAGTGCATGTCCATAATTTCTGCCTCACTACTCTTAAAATTAGTATTTATTACATCAAACAAAATTAACTTAAATATTATTAAATATAGGTGATAATTTTGGCAAAAAAATGTATATTGTCTAATAAGTCAGTGATTTATCCTGTTATTTCAGTGCATATGCTACGAATAAGGCCACAAATTCTTTCAATTATGTTTTGCATATCCTATCGTGGTAGACTGTTTGTTTTTTTTTTTTCCCAATAATAACAACAGTTGAACTTATTTTAATAAAACACTATTGAGAAGGATATAAACAAGCTGGTTAGCATTTCTTGGCTTCATATTTGATTTGACATGGAAGAGCTTTCTTCAAGACAGTCTACCATTATTTCTGTTTTGCTGCCCTTTGACTTTTTTTTTTTTCCAAATATGCCTTTCTGTGCCCAAGCAGTTGAGGGAATAAATTCTAAAAGTTCTGTAATATTTGCTTTCTGCTACATTTACTGACAAATTCAAAAAGGTAGGCAGTAAAGGGACTGAAAATTCAAATAATCAAATTGCATCAGTTTATTCATTTTAGCATAGTTTATTCTATTTTAATGAAATAACTGAAGTTGTAAATATAGTTCTTCATTAGAAATGTTTAATATTCTGTTCTGTTATTTAAATATTTTTTTTCCCCATTTTCAGCTGATAGGCTGTTTGTCAAACAATATTGTGTCCTGAATTTTTCCTTGTTGGTTCATAGGTCTGTATCTTCTGTCTTGTGGAACAATGACCCTGGAATTCGATCTGCTGGAATAAGACAATGACCTCTACTACCAGATGAAAGAAAAGGGTGAGCAGCTTCCTTACGGCTGATACCATGTAATTCACTATTAGCAAACAGTATGAAATGGAGGCTAATCCTATTCTTTTTTAATACATAGTGAAGTCTGTTCTAGATATTTCTCCTGCTCAAGGCAGGCTTATTGTTTCTCTTGCTTCTGTACCTGAAAACAAAAATGGATGGCTGTATAGAAAACATTAGAAATTTGGTAAATAAGAACACACAAACCATGCTGGATCAGATCATTTGACCACTTCTGCCTCAAACTGTGGCCAAAACTAAATGCTTCAGAGGGGAGAGGTGTTTAAAAAGTCCTATAAGGCACAACAAGTCCCTTGGGGTAGTTTCTTTGTAACCTCAGATAATTAATGGTAGGGTAATACTCTGAAGCAGAAGAATTTATAGACCTTACACATGTCTGTCTTTGCTTATGTAGTTACAGATAACATTGGCAGATATATCGGTACAGTACATTTTACTGTTCTTTTTTCCCCCCTTTTTTCCTAGGCTGTCTGTTATGTCTTATGTGAATGAAACCAACGAATTACTTATATTGTGTGTTAAATAGCAGTGGGTGTCCCCTCTGCTCTTTTATTATGAGAAGGAAGTAAGCTCATGCCTCTTTCAGCTCGCCTCTTCTACAGCTACTTGCTGTACTACAGGGCCCTTTTTTATTTGTACAGGGAAGTCCTTCTATACCTCTAACCATTATTTTGCCATCCTCTATCTCTGTTACAGCCTTTTTTGATATGGTTATATTTCATGACCAGAACTGAACAATGGATTCCTGGTGAAGTAGTACAATCAATTTATATCAAAGTCACTTTTAACATATTATCTTTTTTTAGTAATAAAAACTAACATCATCTGTTTTTTATCATCACTACATACTGATCAGATGCATGTTTTAGTTGTCCTTAGTGATGCCTCAGTGTTTCCTGAGTGGCTTCAGCTAGTTTAGAAATCACTTATGTGGCTCCTTAATTCAAATTTTTTCTCTTGAGTTTGCATTTCCTTCCCGTTGTCTACAGTAAACTTCTTACGTCTCTGTCTCACCTCACAGCCTTAACTTCCCCTACTGTAGCAAAAATCAGAAATAGACTCTTGAGAAGGGAGGGACCCTGAAAGAGTATCTTTTCATTCCTCCCCAGTCACTGGTGGGAGAAAGGTGTTGGAATCCTTCACCTTGATAGAACAGTCTGCAAATCTGCCCCAAATTCTGTATGGATATCCAAACATGGAGGGCCTCTTCTGTGAAGATATGATATAAAGGGTGGGGACATTCAGATCTATATTGGGATCCCTAAGTCAAGAAAATGACAGTGAAAAACTGTTTCAAATATTTTGTCCGTCGTCTTTCCATTTTAATTATCACTGTACTGTTCACATCTTTTTCTGGGCATTGAAGGAATGAATGTATGAATTTACATCAATCTGAGCAAGGTATTCACCTTGTTGTTAGCCTCTTTACCTGTTTAAGATGGTTCATTTATTCCTTTCTTTTTGTTCTTTATCTTTGAACTAATTTCTAGCCAAGAGCAGAAGTTCAAATCTCTCTGTCACAACATGGTTTCCTTAACAACCTTCTATGAGGGACCTCTTGAACTTTAACAAATGTATTAAACTTTTACTTGTTTTGCTTTTTCCATTTATTTGACTTGTCCAATGATTCTATTAGATCAGAGAGGACAGTTTCATTTTAGAACTGGGCTGGTTTGTCCTTCTTATATCACAATTAGGGAAGACCTGCAAGCAGCCTGTACCAGTGGGGAAAATGGAAGAGTTGCTTTCAATACAATTTTCACTCTTTGTAAATGAAGACACCTCTGTGGTTCCCCAAATGCAAGCTATTAAACAAGATAGCGCAAGAGGAACCTGAAGATGTGATGAGACCCTGAGTAAGGTGCATCCTTTCAGTACTTAAAAGTGAACATATTTGGTGGGTTTTTAAATTTATTACTGGTACTATGATGAATAGTGACTATCACAAGATTATTTTGTCCTTACCAAGTACTTCAGTACAGTGACAAAATAATTCTATTGTACTTTTACCCTGTAAGAGTATTTATACTTTCTTTTCCTGCCTCTCCCTGTTTTGTAACTTACGTAGTGGAGAAAGGTAGTAATATTTTGGAATGTAAAAGAAATAGATCGTTCATAGAGATGGAATGACAGTTAACTGATACCATAAAAAAGCTTTAAGCTAAATATACTCCTTTTGGTAAAGATAAGGGACAGTGGGATTTAAATATTCAAACCAAGACAAAAATATAGCAAGAGCTTTGAAATGTTCTCCATTTCATTTGATTCCATAATACCAAGAAATAAAAGTGTATAATAACACTGATGCAGTAATTGTCACTTAATAAGTTCAGGTTAGAAGCCTCATAAGGAAATGAAAAACATCTTGTTGATCTAATTCCCAAGAAAATTAATGAAAATTGGCTTATGAAGCCCTAAGTTAGATACTTTACAGTTTCATTATTTTTTTCCATTTTATGTTTTATTGGATTTTCTTACAGTGGTAGTATAAAATGTAAACTGCTTATTGAATCTTGTTGTATTATAAATAGAAGGAAAGCATAAGAACAAATTAAAGGATTTTTGAACAGAGATTAATTTTTATAGGCCCAAATAAAAATAATTTAATCATATTTCCACATATTAACCACAACAGATGGTAAATGTTGTCCTTTGCATATTACTAAAGCGACCTTGGGTTAGTTGGGGGGCATGTTATTTGTTTGATTTGTTTTTGTATGTATGCAAAATCTTTTTCTACACCAGACCACTATGGAAAGATTATTTTTTTTAAAACAATTTAATCTTAGACATTGAGCGTAAAGGCATTTTTTGCAGTGTTCAGAAGAAAACGTATAATCAGTGTAAAATTTGACCTAATTTGCTTTCATGCCATAGAAGTCTGTTCAGCAGTCCTTCTTCTTTGTACAGTTCTCCCATCAATAGTAGTGGAAGGTATGCAACAATTGGAAGGAGACTAAAACTCCAGAAAAATATGCACATCTTTGTGTGAAATACATTTGTATTAATCTTCAGTTCAAAGATGGGCAAAATGGTGTATCTGGCAGGTGGATTTCCATTTCCCAGCAGCCCCTACCTGCTTTGTTCTGGATGGTTTCCATGGAGACCCCAGGAGCGGCAGAGCCTTGACAGCATGGGGCCAGGGTCTCCTGGAGCCCACCTCTCCTGGGGTTTTCATGGAAACCAGTCAGAGCAATGCAGGCAAGGGCTTCTGGGAAATGGAGCCTGTCGTGGGCCTGATCTAGCCCATTGGTCTGACTTTGCCCACTCTGGTATAGTGCCAGAGCTGACAGACACTTTTTGCAGCCATATCAAAAGAATTAAATAGTAAAACTTCATCTAGTAAAATAATGTTATTTGTTGGTGCTGCAAACCTTTTGCAGAATATGGGTATGTTCTACATCCCGAAGAGATTAGTCTAAGTTCAGGCAAATGCAAGGCATTAATGTTACAGTATTTCTGAGAGAGCAAGTTACAGGGCTACTAATGATGAACAATTTCATAATTAGCTGGATTTATTTGCAAAAGGGCAAAAACTGCATTCATCAGCTAAGGTCGGGAATGCCTCAGGTATGGTTACCAGCATTTTAGAAGGCAGAGAAATCTGAAGAGAAGAAAGAAGAAATAAGGGAAGAAGCTGGGAAAAGTATAGGAATTTGAGTATGGTGAAAGAAATGAGAGCAGAAATGTAAGTGGAAGAAAGATTTTTCTAGAGCATTATATGTGAAGACAAGAAGCGTCAATTTGCTGCACCAAGAGATGGAAAGGATTGTGACATTTCAAAAAGAGCTGGTGGGTGAACTGGAAATGGCATTAAGTACATTGGAATTATATAGATAGGAAAATTGAGAGGTGGTGAGCACTGATTTTTGAAATTCTCAAGAATGAGAGATAATCTAGTGTGGCAAGTTGGAACAATAGTGAAAATGAAGAGGAAGAAATAATGGGAATTATGAGGACTGGTTATGTGAAGAGGCCAGTGAATATCGACTTTGGAGTTCGCAAACATGGTTAATGAAACTAGGAAGGTAAAAAGCAAAGATCAGTTCTAATCTGAGAGCTCTGAAGTTTGAGATGGTAGTATGTCACCACAGAATTTCCATTGAGTAGCTGGGAATGAGAAACTGAACTGATGTAGAGGGCCATTAAACTACATTGAAGCGCAGTAAAACAGAAAGATTTCTTCTTTCAAAAAATTATTATGTATTTTAAGTTTCTAATCTTTATAAGCATTTTCTAAGATCTTTAGATAAATGATAAGTTATAGTAGTGTATTTTGCAATTGGTGGGCGCATCCAGGTAAGCGCACATGTGCCTCTTGCAGCATTCCAAACCAGTTTGAGATGCTGCCAGAGGCACACTGTGAATGAAAAATTGTTTTCCACACTGCGTATTTGTAGCACGGGCTCAGATATGATACCTGAATATCCCGGTATAAAAGATTACCTTTGTGGGGGGAGGGAAGGGTGGGCAGGTTACCTGAGGTAACTGGGAAGCTGGTCCTCTGGAGAGAGGCTCTGGTTTCTGGGTGGTGGCACACATGGCAGTAGTGCCACACACAGGCCAGCTGTGCAACCACAGCCTACGGGCAGCTGGCTCAGATGTGAAGATCCCACTGCTGTGCCCATGCAGTCCCCATCTAGGTCTGGCAGGCACACAGCCTTGGGGCCATATGTTGTTGCAGGTAGCAGCAGGTCATATCCAGGCAGCGGCCCCCACTGCCAGACTGCTGCAGTGGGTAGAGGGTGCAGGGAATTCTCAGTTAAGGCTGCTTCAGCAGTCCAGCTGGCACAAGGGGTAGTGTACCTTTGTCACGGCAGCTTTTCATATTGCTGGGGCTAGCACAGAT